CCGGCCGCGCTTCCACCTTCCCGTGCGGCGCCGCCGGCCCGAGGCTTACCTGGGCAAGCTGCCGGCGCGCTCTGAACCTCCCCGGTTCCGTGGCAGCTTGTAGAGTCTGATGGGGGAGGCCTTGAGCAAGGCGCTGAATCTCCTTGAATGCAGAGGCCTGGTGAGGCTTGTGCACTGAAGTCTTCGTATGTATTTAATTGTGAGATGATCTGGAGGTTCCTCGTTTATAAAATGACGCGGTGTGTTGCCGTGCAGTGTTTCAGGTGCTCTGTGTGTATAAACAATGAGCAGACATGTTTATTGTTTCACCATAGCTGAATGGATAGCTGCTGTCTAGCAACCTTGCTTTTAAAAAAAACAAACAAACATTTGAAGGGCTGCTTAATGCAAATATGCAATATTACTGCTTTGGGAAGAACCTTTTTTTTTGTTGTTGTTGTTAGTAGCCTTACAGCTTGACACCTGTGTTTGGGGATCTTTGCCATAATACTCGATGGTAACATCTAGTTTAAAATGTGAATTTTATTACTTGGGATTTTTTTTGTTTGTTTGCTTTGTGTTTTTGTTTTGAAGGAATACTAATGTTTTAAGAATGTGTTTTAATAAAACGTTGATGTAGCTTGGAGCCCTTTGCTCTTCAGCCTGTTTAAACTAGTAGTTAATTGGGTATGTGGAAACATTCTTTGTGGAGTATATTTACTTAGGAATTTGCCCTTTTTTGTTATCAAAAAGAGTAATTTTATTGGTTATTCTGAGTAATAGTAGAAAATAAAAATTGAAATTATAAGTAAAAAATGGCTTGCTCTCAGGAACTGATAGGGTTGCATACTCCAGTTTCATTGTTATTAATAACTTGCTCAAAAGTCTGTTTAGCTTTTGTGGCATTAGTATGTTAAATCATAATGACTTAAACTTGGTTTGTTTGCTTTAAAAGGTAAGGATAGAGTAGGTTCTGCTTGAAGTAGTGCTACCAACATCTCTCTAAGACTTTAAATGTTTGGGTTTGTTTTTTTTTTTACCCTTTGTAATGTAAAAAATGAGACGTGCTTTCTTGTAAATTTTCTCATTCTATAACAGACTTCCTGGTGAGTATTTCTACTCTGACAGGGTCCCGTTTGTGAAAAGGCGATTTACCACTCCTTTTGTCACAAAGGGTGTTCGTGAGGAAATGCCTAGATAGTATGTTGGTGGAAGTCTATTCATGTACCCAAAAAGACGTAAGTGGGGGTTTGTCCTTGTCCTTGCCATGTGCTTGTAGCGTATATACAATGTGTATTTGGTGCTGCTTCCCCTCTTGTGATGCTTCTGTGCTTAAAAGCCACTATCGGAGCATCTCGTCGCCTTCGTGAAAGCCAGGAAGTTTGCTGCAGTGGTAGTAGGGTTTTGTTGAGGCTGGCTGATTCTGAAAGTGATTTTTCAGATAAACGGGCTTATGAGGTAGTGGTGCGGTCTCATGTCACTCGGATGCTTCATAGTCTACATCCTCTGGAGACAGCCAAGGGGCTTTGGTTGCAGCAGAAGGTAAATTCTGCTGCACTGATTCAGGAGTCCCTGTAGCTTCCTTGTGTCCTGGCCAAGTCAGAATCTGTGTCTTCTCCTGCCCTTCTACTCTGCTGATTTATTGTAACACTGATTCAGTTGAATTGTGAAGGAGAGATGATACTTGAGATGATTGTTGTTGTTTTCTGCCCCAAAAAAGCAAATAATCCTCTGCAGGAATGTGGAAGTTAGTTTGTAAGTTGAGGTGCATTCTAGTATCCACTTGCATTCTAGTTGAAATGTGTGCTTCTCTTTAATTGCCTTTAGGTTGTCTTATAAATGTACTCTTACTACTTGGGGTTTTTTATGCAACTACATGCTGAGTTCTTTCACTATACATCCCATAGTACTTAGAAATAGAAGTTTGTGGGCTTCTGAGGAAGGGAAAAAGGCTACATAAAGTTTGGGCCCAGTAATGCTTGCAGCAAAGTTAATGCCAAAAGCCTACATGAATCTGAGTCCAGACAGATCTGTGGTACCTAAATCAGAAATCTGCTGGGCACCCAGAAGCGTTTAAACTGGAACCAAGTACTATGTCTACCTCTCAGGTTCTCTGCCAAGTTTTGTGGTTTTAAATTTCCAAAATATTTTTTTAGCATGCCTCTTTTTCTGTTCCATTGTATATGAAAGTTTCATAAATGAGAAGAAATAATATATGAAAGGTGGAGTGCTGTTAAACATAAGTGAAAAAATTAGAGGGAGTTATTGTCCTCCACCTACCCCTGGTCTGTTCTGTAGTTTAAAGTTCTGCTGTAATAAGTATGTAGAATATTTCTAAATAAATTGGGTTGATCGTTTGTTTTGTGGGTTTTGTTTTGAAGAAATGGGTAACAAAAATTAAGCTATTGAACTAGCAGCCAGGTTTTTAAAAAGATCCAGTTGCATAGTAAATTTTAGATGCTTGTTTTTGAAAATTGTGGTGGTTATCTCTGAAGATTACTTTTAAGTTCTGCTTAAGTCAGTTAAGTCTGCTTTGTTGCTCTGAAAAATTGAGGAAAGGTTTTTCCTGTTGAGTCTGAATTAATTTTAGAGCATCAGACAGTGAATCAAACCAAGCCCCTAAATCTTCTAAGTCTGACTTCTAACTGTGGTGTTTAAATAGCAAACCTGTTATCTTTACCGGAGATCTTGGTGCTATGAAAGCCAACTATTAATAGACCTACGCATAAATACCTTCAAGGCTTTTCAGTTAGCAATGCCATTGTCAAGTACATATTTTATCAAATACTAACTTAATGATCTATTTCAAACCTTAGCAAATAAGGAATATGATGTAAATTCTAGCATTTTATTTCTTTAGCAATCAAGTAAATAGAGAACTGATGGGAAAGGGGAAAAGAACAGGGAAGAAGCTGAGCCAATATGTTATTTTTCGAAGTCTGTCTTTGCCCTCCCCATACAGGTAGCAGAGGCAGAGGGAGGAGTTGGGTAGCTACTGGAAGTTCACTCACATAGCTTAGCTTTCCATGTGGGAAAATATTGCTGGGTGTCAAAAGCATTATATCAGCTATTGAGTTGCCAGTTAAAAAGTAGGCTTATTGATGAAATGATGCATGCTGTAGTCAAGATCAGCTCCATTGGAAACTAAACAGAAGTGTCCCTGGCTTGTGGTTTCAAAAATCTTTCTGGGATGGATCAATTTAAACAGATCAACCTTAATCATGGTTTTGAGTTTCAATAGTCATATGTGTGAGAAATCTGTTTTGTTATTGTTTAGAACAAGTGCTATCTGGGGTTATCAACATCCCTCATCTTGAAATCCACTGTATTTCCTCTTTCATAACTGAGGAATCATTACTCTCTGGTCCCCCTTTTCCTGTGTCCTAAAATGAGCTCTCATTTGTTGTTAAAGTATGGCAGCAGTTGTGTATTCCAGCAGTATTTGCTGCTTATTCTAGCAGGAGAATTAGACTGCTTTGCTAATACTTCCGCGCTACTGATTTAAGCTTCCTCTAAACAAACAACAAATTTTATATACAAGCCAGTGAAAGCATTATGGCTCTGGGACAAGTGAAGTAAGCACAGAGAAAGATCACTTAATGGAAATGCTTTCTCTATAGATCAGTTTTTTAATATTATAAATAGCAGAAGTGAGAGACCTTATTTTTCATTAACCCCATAAATGCATGGGAGGTGCTTGCTTTCAGAAAGCTACAATGTTTAGGCCTGTAAGTTCTGATTTTTAAAAACAGGAAGGAAACTCTGTCTTCAGTAGTAATGGAAAGATCCTCCTGCCTTATTGACATCAGGATTTGGAGGCCACAGGTGGACTGACTAAGAGCATTTTAGTGTTAGTGTGTAGAGATTTCTTTTTGAACTGCTATTACCTGTACCTGTGACTCTGTGCTTTTTGTCTATTTTTTATGTATATGTAGCTATACAAATGAAAACTTTATTTCAGCATAGCAAAGTGCATCTCCAAATTGAGATGATACTTGTTGATATTTTGAGTATAAGAATTGAAGTGTAGCTAGGGATATTTTTACCTTAGTTTAGACATGTCAACACAGTTGCGTGGAATATGTTTTACTGCTGCTGAAACAGGAGCCGTAGATAATCTGAAAATAGCCAGGGTTCTGTTTTGCTAACCATGCAAATCCAGGTTAGCCAAATCCTATTTGTTAACCACGAATAACCTACTATCTAAGAATCTTTTCTAGAAAAGCAAGACTTTTCTTGTGGCTAATAAAACTGAGAAGGGCTTAAGGTTTTTTGCAAATATTTTGAACTTGTATGTAATACAGTCACCTGTGCAGCTCTGCAAGTTTCTTGATGCAACGTCAGGTTTTATTTTCTTCCTAAATCTATAATACCTTTCAAAGACCCCAAGGAAAGTCTTACAAGTGTGGGTTGGGTTTGGTTTTATTTTTTGTTTGTTTTGTGTTGGTTTTTTTTTCTTCTTAGAAGTGAAAATGTACCTAATTCTAGCCACGTGAATCATTTTGCAGTTGGTTCTTCTGCTAGGGTGTGTATTGAGTGTTTTTATGACAAGAAAAAATTAACCGATACCAAGTACTACAATTTGATGTGAAATGAAGGAAACTCCCTTGCTGCTTAGTGGATGGTATTTAAAGGTTGTAGAGCAAAATTATTTGACTATATGTAAAAACTTTCTCAAGTTTCGTCTGTGTTACGCTTTGTTGGTACACAGAACAGCCTGCGCTTCGCTCAATGGGCTTTCAAAGCGAAACTCATTGCGAAAAGATCTCTGAAAGTATGGCTTTGTAGTTTTTTTAATCTTTATGCTTAGCTTTTGGGGATGCTAGCATAACTTAATTCCTATGGCAGTGTCGTAGTGTAGTTGTGATAAGAGCTTGGCTCATACTACAGTAATGTTCCAGAGAACTCGGAAATTGCTGAAAATAGAATATCATAAAGTAAGTTGTGGTCAGAAATACACTGAGCTTCATGCAGTAATGATAAGGGGTATCTAGCACTAGCAGCAATACTGCTGAAATACTGAGAACTCCGTATTTCTGGTAACAGCAGCTTTTTTTATTTCAATACTTTATAACACAGGCTGAACAGTGCAAGGGCTCTTACATTGACTTTGCGTAACTTTAAGTCATTGCATTACTTTATTTTCACCTTTTACAGTATGATTTGAAACAGTCAACATGGACTTTTCACGTCTACACACGTACACTCCTCCCCAATGTCTGCCAGAGAACACTGGCTATACATATGCACTCAGGTGAGAACTCTTTTCTTCTTGTAGAGAAACTGTTCTCTGAATGTCGTTAATTCTGGAGAGTTTAGCTTTCATGGTAAGTAGCTGACTTTTTTGAAGAAGCATGCTTTATCTAGTCTGTTTTGAAAATAACTGCTATGTCCTAAATAGAGGAAAGAATACATGTTGAACTAACAGGACAATGACTAAGATAATGACTCAAGTGTTTATTAGTTGCTATGAATAAACTAGTCTCCACCTAGTTACAATTGCTGTTTTGTTTCTATAAATACGTCATCAAAATTCTTAGATGTTTTCTGGTATGTCTTGTAACTTCTGTATGTCTCTTCTTTTGTGACTTGGGCAGCATTTTCACTTTAAAACACTTGATTGATACGCTCTCATTGTCGCTAGTGTGGAACTTGGCTGGAAGTCACATATTGATTACTATTTTTAGCAAAACTGCTTGTATGAATGTAAACTCTGTGTTCTAATGATCTTTTTTTATATCTTTTTATTAAACTGACCATTTTTAGACTTTTTCTTGAATCACTTCAGTTTTTTCTAAAAATAACTCTGTAGTGTATTTGCTGGTTTTTGTATTATGTATTCAAAATAAATGTGGTGATGCCTGTTTGAGGTTTTTTAATATTAATAGAGCAGATTGTGGCTGCTGATTTAATCTATCTAGCTGTTCCTGTTGTTGAGTTAGTAGCTGTATTTTGAAGCAAGTATACATGAGCCTGAGTTATTGGTTTAGCTAAGTTTAAAAAAAAAAAAAAAATTGTTTGTTAGGATGCAGTATGAGATTGCTTTTCTGTTCTGTGCCTGTAAATCATTATTATGTCTTTAATGTGTATTAAAATATAGTATTTAGTTTGGGGAATACTTAGCTACTTGCCAATAAAACAGAAGTTGGCAAAACTGTAGAATTAACAGCTCACTAATGTAATATTCTTGCTTTTGTGTACTCTAAAACTGTAGCATCATCAGGTTTTTTTGCTGGGTTTTTTTAGCTATAGCCTGATGTCAATAATGTTGCAAAATGGAATGTGTTTTATGTTGCATCAATTAAATTGCAACTCTTCCTGAATTTTTAGAAAAACATTGGTAGAATGTTGGTTAAATACAAGTGGGTTTGCTAATTTCAAGAAAAGGCATGCTGGACAATGAAAGATGATTTATGTGCCTTATATCAGCAAGCAAATTCACTATTATATTACTAAGTGGTTTTAGATAGCTCTATATTGCAAATGTACCTTGGAGATTGACTGAAATATTTTAACTCTTTTACAGAGAGTTCTCGCCTATTGTGAGCAATAAAAGTAGACTTTGATTCTTCAGGTTGTTTAGACAGTGATTTTTATGTCTCTGTGAGCATATCTTTCTTAAAACAAGCTGTGAAATTGTCATCTAATTTGATTTCTTTTCCTTAGTTGTTATATTTGTCTGAAATAATACTAGTACGTTCTACTGTACAATCTTCTCCACAGCAACTAATCTTTCTCGCAGACAAGAAGGGAATAAGTAGGTCTTAGTATTAGCGTAAGAAATTAAAATTGTTTTTCTTTTTTTTTAATTATGTGTATTTCCAAGAGTAGTAGCAAAGTAAATTTCAATAGCTTGCTTAAACTAATCTGGGGTTAAAACCTTTCTGAGCATAGGAGTTTTGTTTCTCACTGAAGCAAACAAGAATACCACAGGAGCAAAGATTAACTTGCCAGGAAAGGAATATGCAGAATGATAAATCCTATTTGTAATCTGGAGTATAGTTCGTTATGACTTTGGTGGGTTTTGTGTAGAAGACAATTGGAGTGTTTGACTTCCTATAGAAATGAAGATTGTCGTTTTGCAAAACTGAGAACTTGTGAAGAGGCCTTTGTAGAAGGGGAGGGTTACATGTCTGGAAACTTTTTGGCCTCCCATTTTGCTGTGTTAAACTACATTAGATACGGGTGTTCAGAAATAGGTAGAGATGGATAAGCTGAAGTTTAACTGACTTAATGAAGGCAAGTATAGTTAAACTCAGTTGAAATTAATTCATTGTGATTCTTCCTTGTGTAGAAAGGAAGGATTAGCAAGCACTTTCTTTAAAACTTGCTCTTGAAAAATTCTGTGAAGCCCCAAATATTAAAACAATGGGGGAAAACTACTTGGTTCACTGCTGGCTTTCAGGGTGTCAAGAGAGTGAACTACAGTCTTTTGGGCAGACTCTCGCTGTGTGTCTGCTTGCTGAATCTGTGCAGAATGCCATGTATTGTTGATGTAGCTCTTCCTACCTTGGGTCAAGCAATATTTGAAGAATCTGAGGAAAGGGTGAGTTACGCAGAGTTGCTAATCAGAAATATTTTCATGCTGAAATTCATTCCTTCTCCTCTCCCCCCCACCTGTATTTGTTTTGCTTATATTCTGATCTGGCTTGTTCTGCCTTTGACAATTCAATCTTTACAAAATCTGTCTGTGAGTTTCTTTAAAGGAGTTGACTTGCGCATGTAGCACTGCAGAAAGAAGTACAGTGAAGTTGGATACCGCAAAGTTATTAATAGAGTTGGTTGTGACCTATTAATAGAATTTATATTAATACTCACTGGGATTAGTGTTTGTTCATAACTGTTTGTAGTGCTTCTACTTTGTGCTTTTACTCCTCCCAAATCAGAAAAGCATAAAACTGATAGAGCTAAATAACCTTTATCTTCCTCAAAATGCAAGTCAAACTTGTCAACATGTAATTTACACCCCCTCTTCAGGCTGATCTTTCCTTTAGTTACCATCATCTCTTGAGTTGTGTTGTTTTTGTCAATTCGGGTACCTTTAACAATGCTTTTCTTGACAAATATGAATTAAATTAATAAGAATTTGTTGGTTTTTTTTTTCCTGTGTCAGAGCATTAAATCAGGATGTAACTTTCTGCAAAATAGTTGAATAAAATCCTTTGGTGTGTTTTATGTGTGTTCTGGGACTGATCAAAGCAATAGCTAAACAACTCAAGGTAGTGTCCTTGGCCAGTCAATATAAGCAATGCCCTGGTCAGAGAGGGTATGAACATTCATATACTGATTATATGCCTGTGTCCATGTTAGAAGACATCTGTTTAGCTATAGTTCTCTAAGTGTATTGCATTTATCTATTATTATCTTGAATAATCAAGAACATTACTGCCCATTTCATTCCAAGGAACACTCTTAAAATAAATGACACTTAAGGTCCCCCAGCTAAAGCTATAGGTGTGCTAAAATTGAAAGACCTCGTTCTCGTTCCACTTACAAATAAACTCGAAAATTAACCCACTGAAGTCTAGGACGTTCTTATTCTGTAGAAGCTCAGGTGAAGGAGGTATCAAGGTAATAGTTAAGAAGCTGGAAATGTAAGACTAGAAACAGTCAGCATATCTGCCAGCAGCCATGGGAGTTGTTTGTTGGGGGAAGGAACCAGGGTCTGCACTGTTTGTGTAGGTTATCAAGGCGTGTAGGCTAATTGCATCCCACCTTCAATATGTTATTTTGCTAGCCATATGTATTGGATAGGAATACCATCAATGTGCACGTTCATTTCTGTCCTGTGAGAGAAAAGGCGGGGGGGGTTGTTTACTGTAGTCTTTTCTGTAGAAGAAAAAAGGCTGCTTTCCAAAGTGTGGAAAGTGATATGGCAAGCTAAGAGACTTCTAGATACTGTCCTGCCGACAGAGGACAGATAACTCTCTTCACATTGGAAGTGAAGAGAAGAATTATTCTGCATAAGCAATAGAGAAGCTCTCTCTTTTTTTTTTTAAGAGAAAAAGATCCCATGATTATTTTTTTTTTAGATAGTAGAGCCCAGTTCCAAGCTATGTATTCAACCCAAATTTATATAAATGCTCACTGAGATACTTAATAACAGCAAGTGTTTATAAACAGAAACAAATTGAGGCTGGTCACAGCTGTCAGCTTGTCCTGTGTTCTTGTGAACTGAGTATCTGTAAGAAAGGTTGGGTGAAGATGAGGAAAAGCAAATGCGTAGTGGCAAGTGTAAATAGCAAAACTGAGTTCTGAAACAACTGTTTAGGGAGGGAGTCAATAGTAAGCTATTGTGGCTCTGACCCTTTCAGAATGAACAACAGGAAGAGCTGTATTTAGCCTGTATTCTCACTTCACATCTGTCAGAATGTAAGCTGTCTAAACAATATTTTTGAAAACTGTAAAATTACATGCTTTTGTACCTAATCAAATGTAGACTAAATCTGTTTTCACGTGAGGAGGCTCCTGTCTTATTTCCTCTTCCCCTTCCACCCAAATGTAAGCAAGGATTAATAAGCATATTGTATTTAGTAATGTATGCTGGGTTTATCTTAAGCTGTGCTTAGACTTCTGCCTTTCACAGGGTTGCACTGCATGTGGCAGCAGTAGCAGGGCAGACCAGTAAGATCAAGCAGGTGGTGCTGAAAACCTGCCTTCATATCTGTGCACCTCTGGGCAATCAAAGAAATTATTTTTGGACAAGCTCTAGTCTTGTCCTCTGGGCTGATTGCCCATTTGCTGCTGGAACAATTAGATGCTTTCCTGCAGTGCATTGCCTCGGTTAGGTTTTTTTTTTAGCTGAAAGAAATGCAGTTCATGTGCTCTGACACAGTCCCATCTTATGTGCTTTACTTTGCATTGTGGAGCAATCAAGAAACTCACTTCTGAAGCATCCACCTTGTCAGAATTAAACCACTACTGTAAGTGTAGCTACTAGACCTTCTGATGTTAACTTATTTGTAGGCCAGAGTAATACAAGGAGGCTGAGGGGAGACCTCATCGCTCTCTACAACTACCTGAGAGGAGGTTGTAGCGAGGTGGGGGTCGGTCTCTTCTCCCAAGTAACAAGCGATAGGACAAGAGGAAATGGCCTCAGGTTGTGCCAGGGGAGGTTTAGATTGGATAGTAGGAAGAATTTCTTCACCGAAAGGGTTGCCAAGCATTGGAACAGGCTGCCCAGGGAAGTGGTGGAGTCACCATCCCCGGAGGTACTTAAAAGACGTGCAGACGTGGTGCTTAGGGACATGGTTTAGTGGTGGACTTGTCAGTGCTAGGTTTACAGTTGGACTTAATGATCTTAAAGGTCTCTTCCAACCTAAACAATTCTATGATTCTACAATACGTATCATATTATTACTTTGTAATGTTCTGGGGTCTTTAATGATTGTGTGAGAAAATTATTTCCATTAAACTGTTTTTGCACAAATACATTTTATAGTAGCTGTTTATATGTATTTTTTTAAAGGGAAAGCTTCCATTTCAAATACGGATTGCACAGTAGAATCTACTCATTCAGATCTAATTTGCTTGCTTGTTTTTTGTTAGGGATTTTGGGGAGAAAGAGCTGCTTTAGTTAACAATACCTCCTCAGCTGCTCTTTTAAAAAAAAAAAAAACAAACACCTCAGGAATACTGAAGTAACTGCTGTTACAGCTGTGTATATCCCTGTGGCCCAAGCGGGAACAGACTCTGTAGGAAAGCTGGCCTAGAGCCCTTAGCATTCCGATACTTTGGGTCACAGTGCGGAGTGGTTCCAGAACTGGCCTCCTGCTGCGCCATACCCAATAACAGCAAGCTCTGTGCAGTTACATAACTGAATGCTTCCTTCGATTGTAAGTGTGAGTATTCTGCTTTAGGCTAAACTGCTGTTTTAGTAAATGTATTTCTTACTGACTCCTCTGTTTAATCTGTTTGTGTTTGCCTTGTGTTGCTGCTTTGTCTTCATTGTAAGTTTTCATGCGGGTTCTGAGAGAATCAAGTATAAAAGTGTGGAGTAGAGTTCCTAGGGTAATGATGTGAAGCTTGTCTACATGTAAACTTGCCTTTAGGATAAAACGGAGAAAAGCGGATGAAAGACTCTAAACTTTTTTTATTTGTTCAGAGTTAAATATTTCTAATGATTTGCATTAAATGAAGAAATCTCTTAAACTTTTTTTTTAGAAGTAATGGTAGTTAAACTAACCTAGCTAAAGTAGGGAAGTCTTTTAAGTATCTTAAAGGGGGGAAGTTCCTATTTGTTGGGAGATAGAAATTCAGAGTAGTGTGGCATATGCATCTTTTGTTATCAAAACAAGGAATTAGCAAACAAAAAACAAAAATAATTTGACTAAAAATGAATCTTTACCTTGCAACTTAGAGTGCATTATGATTTTTAATTTGCTGCTAGGCGTGATGAAGAAAACTGTGTCATGAATGGCTTCCTCTCAAATTGGTCCCAAAAGAACTAGGCTGTGTAACATGCTCGCTCTGGCTAAACTTCAAACGTGGTTTCCATGGTTGTTGTTTGTTTCTAACTGTGATTTGCTTTCAGTTGTTAAACTTGTAATATGAATTGCTTAAGAGAACCTTGAATATCTACATACTTCTAAATTATTTCGGTTACGTGGCATATCTTGTGGGAATTGCTCCATAACCCCGAATAAACTGTTTTTAATGGAAACTTAGACTAGCTTGAAGGGCATGTTTGTTACTAGGGGAATTTCCTCTTAAACCTGGTAACTTTGCTGTTCTTATTTTGCTGCAGTTCAAGTTATTCTTCATCTGCTTTGGATTTTGAGACTGAAAACAAAATAGATCCAGTATTTGATTCACCAAGAATGTCACGGCGTAGTTTACGGTTAGCTGCTGCAGGATTTAATAAATCCGATGATGCACGAAATGATATCCTTCATGACAGCTCTTATGCCGGGAACATGTCCTTCAGAGAACAGGCTTCTAAGTAAGCATTTTTTATCATTACAAGTTAATTTATTGTTTGGAGTCTTGAGACTTCCTGTTTGAACACAGTAGTACAAACATAGGTTACCTACTGTTTTATTCTTTGTTCTCAGTGTTAACTGCCATACTTTGAAAATCATGTTCAGTATGTGGTTTGCACTGAAGTCTTTGGAAAAGTGTAGATGCTTGAAAGTGAGGATTTTCTTTTAAACCTGATTTGATCTGTCTAGTCACATCAGTGTTGAAATACCTTGACTGTTCATTCATTTAATAAAATGAGAGACTAACAGAAATCTGTATCTTTACTGCTATGTCTTATTTGTCTTTTGCTTTGTTCCTAGGATGGTGAAGCAGCGCAAAAGTATGAATAAACAATCTGGCAGTGTAAGACACACACCAAGGAAAAACCTATCCAGCTCTTCCATTTTTAGCCAGAGCAGTTTCAATAGCCATGCCAGTGACACATCAATGGTATCCACTGTATTGGATGAATCTTTGATTCGAGAGCAGACAGAAGTTGATCATTTCTGGGGTAGGCAATGATTGCCGTTGCTTGTATCAAACTGTGAAAACCGCTTATGTTTTGGTGTTTATAAATGTATGTTCACATCTTCCCTCTTTTCCCCACCCATTTTTCCATCGGGCCCCCAAACGTGTGCATGTACTTACACTTTTGCTGTAGATGTCTGCTTGCTAAGACACCTACTGGAAATTCACAGTCCAGTGTGGGAACTTTGATTTTCTGGTGTAGTCAACATCAGGACACATTGCACGGTCAAGTTAATATGCCAGGCAAACATACACAACTTTGTGATGCAACATCATAGATTGTATAGATGTAATTATCTCTTATCATTACTTTCTTCAAAATGTGCGTAGAGTACTGTATTTAAAGAATGGTAAACATGTAGCTTGTCTTTGAAAAGCCAAAGGAAAAGCATTCTTGTTTGTTTATAGGCAGAAGTGTGTTTCAACTTACTATACCTTAATCTGAAAGTCTCAAATTAGTGGCACTTAAGGATTTCCCAAGGGGGTTTTTGTGTGTGGCTGGCTGGTTTGGTTTTGCAAGTGTATACAAGTATACTTTTCTGGAACCTACTTTCTTCACTGAAGAGGAAAATATGGGAGTTGTCTACGTAAAGTATTGTCTACATAAATTGTTGTGTAGGAGAAGATGAAGAACTTGCTATATCTCCCAATTCAGACTATTTGTTTCTAGTCAGTATGCTTGTGACCTCAGAGTCCTAATGTAAAGAATTGTTTTAATCTTAATAGAATGCATTCTAAACTTTAGATTACCTGGCTCTTAAAACAGGATCTTAAAATACAGTAGTACCAAAGTAGTTACCAAGCAACAGGAACAGCGTAAGCTTGTAATTAGCTGCTTTGAAGTCACATGGGAGCTAAGAAAAGGTGTAGCTGTCATATTTTGTCTGCTGCTTCTGTGGTAGAATGCTTTTCACTAACTGTTACCGTACTATATTAATGTCTGAATATATGGACATATTAATGTGGTGGACTGCAAAATATGTTAAATACTATTCATAAAGTGGCTTTTCTTTGCAGTCTTAAAATTAGTGGGACTTCTAATTTGAGTTCATGTCAGATATGGTAGTTGATTATGGCCCTTCCTTATATTTGGGACCAAATGTTTTTTGTTTTTTTTTTTTCCTTTGAAGGTCTTGATGATGAAGGCGACCCTAAAGGTAACTACACTTTCCTTTTCCTTCCACATGCATTCTATTTAATGGTAACCAGCGATGGTAATACTGATGTCAATGCACTGAATGTTTTACTCTTGGTTTGCTAGGTAGTGATGCTACACTGATGCAGGGAAATGGTGACATAGCAGCAGAAACGCAGACCACAATGATCAATGGCTACACTTGCAGTGACTGCAGCATGCTTTCTGAACGGAAGGAGGTTCTTACAGCATACTCAGCTTCTCATGTGCCATCTTCCAGAATTTACTCTAGGGATAGGAGTCAGAAACATGCATCTAGTAAGTTACTTTCTTCTGTGTTTTATCTGGATAGCAGAATGTATACAGTTTAGTTCATGCATTTTCCATATAGTGTTATTTAAGCACTTTTACTACCTTGTTAAATTTACCAATAACTGAATTCTAGAGAACAGCTTATATGAAATACTTTTTTGTATATCAGCTGAAACTTTATGTACTTGTCAGCTTCTGACATATAACTATCAACTTTTTTCAATGCTGCTGTAGGAATTAAACAATTTCAAAATGAAAATGCTGTGGTATCTTAACAAGTTATATTTCCAAACTGATTTGGAACACAATGGGCAGTTCCAACCAGCACTGATTGTAAGAGTCTCCTAATCTGGTATCAGATCTGTATGTGTCTGTCTACGAAGTTTTTGATCAGGGCTTTCAGATAGAAACTTCTTCTATGCAGGTTTTTTTTCCCTTACATGATTTGAACTTTCCAGATTGAGCAGAATTGTTACTTTGCAGTGCTTCTGCTATCCAGGAAATCTCTGAGATACCTTTCTACTTTCTGCTTTCTTTTTTTTCTCCTTGTTTAACCTTGCAGCTTACTAGAGTGTTTTTAGAAACTAAACCTCAACTACTTGAAAAATTGAACTCCAAAGGGAAAAAAAATTATTCCAGATAGGAATGTAGTCACTAGGAAGTCTAAAGCTCAAAAACAAATGGATCTGCTGTAAATAAGGGTCTGTCTTTCCAAGGCAATCTCCATCCTGTGGATGGCTGTCCTCAGTGTCTTGACTGTGTCTACCTGCCTCTTGGATAGCATCTTGAGTTTCTTGATTGTTGGTAGTCCTCAGTTACCATGAAGAAGTTGTTTCTTGAGTGGCCTTGAATTAGAAAGGAACCGATTTTGTGGTTTTGTAGATGTGTTATTCTTGAATGAAGAATGTTTACAGTAGCAAGAAATCAGTTTGTTTGGACTATAAGGTGTGACTTTAAATGCTTTGAGGCAAGTATTTCTTTTTGGTTAACGTGTAGCACAGGTAGAAATTCTTTTGGCTTGACATAACGAACTGCTTAAAGTGACTCTGTGAAAACTGTTTTCTGTGCTCCTGAGTTTGTATTCACATGGGAGAATTTTACAAGGGACTCATCTTTGGATGTTCTTTGAACTTTAATCCAGCGGTTTGGGTTAAACTTGGGGGAGAAGTGGGGGGCAGGAAAAGGGGCACACAATTATGGCAGGTTTTTGGAAAGTGGCTGATTCTAGGAAAGCAGCAGTATGGTGGACTGCGGCTTTGTTCCCCTGGCTCTGAAGGAGAGATGTGTGTCTAGCACTTGAGGCAGACCACTGTAGTAACTTCCTCCAATGTAAAGGTGGAGAAGCAGGTGAAAAGTCCTCACCCTTTCAAATCCAAAATAAGAATGTAGTTTGTCTCTTTGGAGCTGTGACCCAAAAAATCAGTATTGACAGCTCACATCACTGAGAAATCCCAAGTTCTGTAAGCAAGGAATTCATTGCTATTCAGAGTTCTTAATTCTCACTAAGAAAAGGTGTTCTTGCTGAAGTAATACGTTCTGTCTTGAAGGCATTTTCCCTAGGATGTGTAGTACTTAGAAAAGCTTTGCTGTAATATCTAATGCATCCAGACTTTCCAAACCACGCTTGCTTAAGTTCATACTTCTGGCTAAACAAAGGCTTTCCATGCTTCGTCCTCACTCTTCCACAAGCTAATGGTCACCAGAGAATAGAAGTACATCTTTATGCAGGTGAATAATTTGTATTCACACTGTTCTTTTCAATAGGAGGAACCTATTTCTACATGAGTAAGATTCTGCGATTGGTCAGACATGCTGCAGCATCTTTTGCATCACTATTAGTGCAACTGTTTCAAATGGTTTTGCTGAAGCTGGGTTATGAATTTAAAGGTACCTTTTCAATTGTCTTCCTTGGTCTCCACACAAAGCCAGTGTGTGTGTTGGGTTTCTTTTTTTTCTTACGGGCTTCCTCTTTGGCACTATGGTGTTCTTTTTCTATAGTCTTTTGGCTGGCTCCTGTCTTTCTCCCTCTTTTATTACTATTATCTCTTTTATTACTTAATTATCTCAGTTGTGCTACCCTCTTCATACTTTTCCTCTGTTTTGGAAGTATCAGGATTCACTTATGCGAGGTCTGTGTTACAGTTAAGATTCACGTGTTGATACTTTACTACCACTTCCTAGTGGTAGAAGGCAATGTTTAAATTGAGAAACTTAAGTTGATTTTTAAAAACTGTTTGGTGTGATAGTGTCAAATCCTAACTCTTCAATGAATGTCTTTAGGTTTAGACTATCTTGTTACTACCCTTAAGCCCACTGTGCACTTAAAGCTTGATTAGGTCTGTCTTGAAAACTAAAGCTGCCATCATCACTCTGCACTACTCTAAAGCACATCTTGTTTTCCTTGAAAGTGTTCGATTCTTCTTCAGTGCTTTCTCTTCTATAATACATGCTCTGAGTGAAGTTAATTTGCCATAGGCAGAAGGTAATGGACTTTCGTGTGTGAATAAAACGTTGTTCTCTCCTGTTCTGTGCCTTGTAACTTGCTAATGCTCTCTTCCCAGTCTCTTAAGATTTCTGACAAAATCAACACAAAGATGTAATGGTTGGCCCATTTGACAGAACGATGGGAATAGGGACTCAAGATTTGATGAGTTGTTACTGAGGTTTTTTTTTACTAACTTTGCTATCTGAAAAGAAAGATTTTTTTGAACCAAAAGGCCTTCTCTTGCTTAAAGAAGAAGAAATAAGATTGCACAGAGTAGGCTTCTTCCTTGATAATTTTTCAGGTTTCCTGTGGGTAACCTGGCTTTAATAGTGAACCAAGCCAGTTTAGCTAAAATTTGCATATATGATAGCTAAAATGTGCATATATGAAAGGCTTTGAACTTGAGAGTTGCATTGCATGTGTGCTTTTTGAATGTGTTGCAGCTCACTCAGACTACTGTGGAAGCATGAATGTAAAGGAGTTTTACAGAGAAGATAGCTGTCTTGGTGTAAATGAGGAATCAATATGTAAGTGTAATGATTGATGTTGTCTTTTAGCCTTGGGCTGTACACCAGGTTGTTGCTATAATAGTAGTATCAGATGCCCCATGACTCTATGGAAGCTGCAAAGTAAACATTTGGTTTGCAGCTTAGGTGTAGGGGGGAGAACGGTGATTGCCTGGCGTACTGTAATATTCCCCAAGCAAGTTTTATTCCACTGAAGTTTGCTTAGTGGTTTTTTGTTTGATAACTGATCTTATGAAATAGACTTGTTCAAATTAGCTTGTAACAATCTTGATTTGATCCTGGCTTTGTCCCATTAATCAACTGTTACCACAATCAACAGGTGATGACTGTAAGGGGAAGAAACATCTTGAAATATACACCACAGACCACATGCAATCCTCATGGGCTAAAAGGGTAGCAAGGACCATTTGGCACACCTTTTCTTATGCAGGTTGACTTGGACCTTTTTTCTTTTGCTTTTGTTTTGCATAGCAATCTCACAATGTTAATCATACATATTGTTTTGTAGTGTTTTGTTTTTACCTTCCATCTATCAAAGTAGATTAAAAGTGTGAAGTGTCTAGAAAATTAACTAACTTTAACACCTTTCCTGTTTGACTTCTTGTTCTGATACTGTTTTTTGTACAAGCTTGACAGACTGCTTACCTGTTAGTAAAAACAAGGTGTAGGGACAGCATACACCTTGTATGTTAGAAAGAACAAGTCTGATTGTTAATGTATTGCACTTCGGGGAAGTCTGTACACTCGATAGGTTGAAAAGCTGCCTTTAAATGAAAGCAAGGTATGAGGTATTGGTATGCTGATTATTTGAATAAAGGGTTTTTAACATTTTATTTTTGTTCTAGTGATAGTCAATTTTTACAGGAATCTTATATAGGGATAGAATCTTCCCTGTGAGATGAGCATTCCCTAGCTTGAATGACAGAGGCATCAAGAATCTGTTGAGTGCTCTTTATTCAGCAAAGGAAAATGATTTGAGACACTTCAGTCACCTAAATGCTTTGCAAAATATTGGGTTGGTATATCTATAATCCCTCAGATTAACCCACACATACCTGCTAATCTAAAACTGTAGGATTACTTTCTAAATGTATACTATGTAGTTTGTTCTGTAGAAACAACAGTCCTAGTCTTGGGTATAGTAATTGTTTGCTTCAGTGAGCTTTAAGTTACAGCATTTTGTTATAGTGCATTGGGTTTTTTCCGTGGTGGTGGTTTTGGTTTTTTTAAGAGACTCAGAACTGACATACTGAAGATCCTTGGGAACATTCAATTTAATGAAAATTTACTGCTTATAACTTTTAGTAGGGAATACTTTATAAATTTATCAGTATTTCTTAGACATCATTATTTAATTCTTTCACTAGGATTTAAAATTTTTAATTGTTCCCTCTTCTACACGTGAACCTAGATAACAAACTCGATGTATAATTTGGAACAAGTAAGATGCTTTTAAAGAATGATGTGCTTAAAATGTGTTTTTATGGTAGTACTTTTTTTGCTATTCTCCGTTATACTTAGCATGACATTGTTAGATAAACATACTACAAAATGTAAACTTTTTGTTGATTTTGGAAAAGTAATATTCTAACTGCACAGATGCTGTTGATCATTCTGTTTATACGTGAGAACTCTTGTTTATAAATTGTCCTGGTTTTGCTTGGTTTCATATTTATTAGTGGCTTGCTTTGCTTTTAAATAGTGAAGAACCAAATTTGTAGATTACTGAAAGGTATGGCTTAAAAATATGCAGAACATGTCATGAGCAGGGGATTGAGTCTGTTTTACTGCATGTATTGCAAAAGAACCTTAAGCTCATTTATGTATGTTACCACATAGAGTTAATTTGTTATAATCTAGGTTACTTTATGCTTCACTTGTTGCGAACAGTGGGAGCAACAGGATGGCTTGTGTCTCAGAAGGTGGTGTCTCTACTTTGGCTGGCCATTCTTTCTCCAGGTTACTATCCTAATGTGTGTGTGTGTTGCCTGTTCCTTTTGACAAACTAAGAAGCTGCAGTAGGTGGCTTACACTAATTCAACTATGCTTATGCTGTAGCTTTTGTATCTTGAAATGCATGTGCTACTTTACTTTATTGACCAAAATACGCTTAATGAGAGGATATATTTCTGTTCACAGGCATAATGGGAGACTAACCAGACTGTTTCATGAGGGAATGTGTGTGTGAATAGCACAGAATATGGGGTGTCAATAATAATGGGGTGTGTTTGGTTTGGTAGTCGCTTCTTATCATGATATTCCTCTTAGCAAAAACCGATGCTGCTAATCTGTGCATTTCTTGAAACACATCTGAGGTCTTCAGTGCATGATAACCTGGATTCAAGCATTAAAACAATTTCTGGCAAGATAGCATTGTTGTAACAAATGAGCATTTAATCTTTTTGCATGACTATTGGTTTTGTTTAGAGGCTGATGTTATAATGTTGTCATGGTTGTGATATCTAGATGTTAATAGGCTGCATGCGTTGCCTGTACTCATGCATTTCTCTGCTGTGCAAAGTATTCTTGGCCACAGTTGCATGTCCCTCTGCTTGGTTTCTTTGAACATGTGCTGCAGTAATTACATTTCACAGTACCACTTTTTGTCTTCTAGGGAGGGCAGCTTCTGGCATGTTCAGGTTGCTTAGAACTGGGTGGTATCAACTTGTTACTCTGATGTCTTTTCTCAAGGTGTTTCTTCTTAGAAGGTGTGTATCCTTTGAAAAAACTGTTTTGTGAGCAAATTATTTACACAGTTGTAATATAAAACAATAAAATGTGATAAATGTATCGCTTCTTATAAACTTTCCTCTCTTTTTCTCTAGATGCCTTCCAAAGATCTACAAGCTATTACTGTTTCTTATCCCACTCCTGTTTCTACTAGGTATGTGAATCATTTAGTTATAATACAAATTGGTGTATGCTTACTACAGCTGTTCCAAAATAGCATTTTTAGTTGAACTTCCAGTTTATGAAGAAGATGCAGAAGCAAAAAAGAGCAAGTTTGTTTGTGAACAGGGCAGCAATTCAGGCTTTCAAAGTACTAACAAGTCAGTGAGCTTTCCCCTTACCATGAAAGGAATACCGTTGACTTAATTTCATAGAGCTCTTTAGACAGAGAGAGCGGGTGAGGAAGTAAATGCACTGAAGTCCTTCTTTTCTTTACATCCCTTCATAGGAATAGCAATGAGCTCATAAAGAGTAGGCTGTGTACTGATTGATTTGATTGTTGTCAGTCTCCATAAAATTGTGGTTAAGCTCTTTCACCAACTCATCTTAAATCTTTCCTTTGCTCTAGGCCATGCTTTAGTTGCTTAAAATACTGCCATTTGGACTGATTAGTTGACAATATTCCAGGCCAGCTGTCTAATTTGAAATAAATAAAGTCAGTTTAAAATGTTTACCAGAAGTGCTGGGTCATTTCTGAAAAGCAGTTTCATGTCTTTGCATGTCCTAAAAAACCCTGTAGCTACTCTGGGGAGCAGATGAAGCTTCTCAGAAACTTACAGTGGGGATTCCAAATCCTCTGTACTAGGGAGAATAAGAAAAGAAGTAGTTACCCTGTGTAGAAAATGGTTCTGCTTCTCACTAAGACATTGCAAAAATAAGTGCAACCTTTGTGAAATGCTAGATTATTTCCATGGAAGCCTAGGTTTCCTCCAACTTTTACTAGATATTATGCAATGTGGTATGTAGTAAGTAGGGTATAAGGCAAGGTATTTTCCATTGAGATAAAAAGCAGTATTTACATCTTCCTTCAGTGAGCATGGCCTGTCTTAATCAGTAAATGAGATCTAGGTCCCAGGGAAGCAGCAGTATGAGATTAAGGATATATCATGGTATATAGGCACAAGTTGCCTGCCTTACAGCTGTGTGAGTGGTACTGATGGATGTTCCCTAATATTCTTGAGTGCTTGACTTAACAGTTTTAAAGCTGGCTCATGCTGATTTTTACTTAGACTGGAGTAGTGTCTACTGTGTGACATCTACCTTGCGAGCTTAAGGTAGCTTGTGTCCTTAAGTAAGAAGACAATTGGTAGATACAAGCAGTCTTAAGGGAGAATTCTCCTGAACACCCTTTTTGCATTTTTTGTTTCTGATCTAGGTATATGGTTCTGGGGGTTTGATGGCTTCATTTCATTATTGCCTTCATTGAACTGGACAAGAATTGATAGAATACAGAGAATAGATGACTCTATTAATGTTCCTGAACCACAGGCTGATTCTTTTCACTCTGTGCAACCTCCAAAGGTAAGGCAGAACAGTCTAGGGAAGAACTTTCCTATCTTTTAAGACTTAACTCCCATGTCTTCAATATTTTGCAATAACTACTTGGTACATGAGGGTAATGTAAATAAATGTCTTGATTTTTATATATTTAAAAAAAAATCTTTATACCTTAGGATACCGTAAATATCTTTGATTCTGGTCGTATAAGTGAGCTGGAAAAGCAAATGGCCTTCGTGTCTGACAGATGCCATCACCATGATGAAGAATATAGCAAAGTGATGCTTCTACTCCATAATCTTCAAGACCAGGTTGCCCAGATGAGTGACAAAAGTGAAACATTGAAGCTAATAAAAAATGTGATGGGTCAACATCTTAAAGATATGAAACTGGAGGAGAAGGTAAGGTAGTCAGTTATTGATGCTTTCTGTTACTGATCAAAGTATTCTGTTTCAATAATGCAGATTATTAGCAATTGGACTTTAGGATTCTTCTGTTACAGAATTAACTGATAGGTAGTAAATGCTAGGGAGTAGTCATTGGCATTTGTTCCTCCTTTGTTATTGCTGACAAAGAATTAATTCCAGATAGGTGGTCTAAAGTAGAATCTTACATTGCTGAAAAGCAGCTGGATTTATCCTGTTTTCATACAGAGAAAGAAGACTATAGGAAGGACTAGTGACAAAGAAGGGGTTTTGTGGTAAACTTCCCTGTGTATAACCTCTACTATTACTGAATCAGGCCTTTATATTTATTACAGATTCTATAATTTCTTTCTATAATTTCTCCCACTACCTGCAGGATAAATCACTTAAGCACTCACAGAATGAAATAGAAATTACGCTTCGTAGAAAATATCAATTATGCTATTTATACTCCAAAAGAAAACACACCACCTTTTTCTTCCCTGTTTTTTAAGACTGACTTCCTGGCTTTACATGAAGAACATGAGTTGCGCATCCGGATGCTGGAAGACCTTCTTGGAAAACTCTCTGCTGAATCCAAGGTATTGAAAGTTAGCTTTGCTAACTCACTCTAATTGTAACCCATTGATAAAATGGACTACGTTTTTTGTTGGCTATCCCAAACCCCAGTTTACTTTACTCCGTTACAGTTCTTTAAGTCTTGAAACTGGTTTGTGCTCTTGCTCCCCCTCCTTGGAGGGGGTTTCAGTCCAAAGATTAAAAATTACTCACTTGACCAGTGAGGCAGGTTCTCCTTGGAATAAAATCTTACTATACAGAGGCACAAACATAAGTGTGGGGACACAGTCCTGTATAGGTGGTGCTAAAATCTGTCACTTTCATTTAATATTCTTTATCTTCTTTCTGTCACTTGTGTTTCTTTTTGTGTTAAAACTAACTTTTGTATTTTTTAGGACATCCAGAAGGAGCTTGACATAGCCAAAGCAAAAACAGTGAGGTATAAGTGCTTTTCAAACATATTTTGCTTTTTCAATCCTGATGCTAACTGATGGTGATATACGTGTTCTTCTTTGAAATACGACAATACTTTTCTTTGTGTCAGTTAACTGACCTTAAGAGTTTGTATTGTCGGTAAGAGTACTTCTGTCTAATAGTAGACTTTTAAGTGTGATGCTGAACATCAGCACAAGGCCCACTTCCAGTGCGTAAGCAATCCTACAACTACATTTTTTACTGGAGACAGCTGTGTGTATAGTAGAGGAGAATGAGTGACTTCTCATCCTCTTAGAAATGCATTAGAATTTTTCCTCATATTGCTTATTGAAGTATACAGTAACTGCCTTTGATAGGCTTTATATTTAAATTCTTGAATTGTATCAATTCTAACCTTCATCTCTGTTTCTGGTTTGTCAGCTGTACTACTTTCCACTCGTGTACTGTGTAATACTGGGATAAAAACTGCAGCACTTCATTAAGTAGTTTCCCCATTGGGAAGCGGAAAAGAAACACTTGCTGAATTGTCATTTAAATTAGATCTAAATGTAAAATGGCTTTAGAATGATGGCTGATACTTGTCTCCATAGCATGCACTGAACACTGATCTATATTGGTCATATGTGACCTGCTACTTAAGCTCAACTTGACACCTACCAGTAAGGTAACCTGAAACTCGCTCTAACCAGTGGCAAACTCATGGCAAATAAAGTTTGACTGATTTGCCAGAAACCTTAAATTCCCCAAAACCTACATATGTTTGAGTTATTAACTTGTCAGCCTGGTGATGTTCTAAAGTCATCACTGCTGGATTTGTTCACAACTTCAAAATACTTTGCTTTGAATATATTAATCCTAAGTATGCCTTAAATAACATCTTCAAGGAACTGCAAGCTCACAATGTCTATCATGGTGAATAACTGAACTAGAAAAGCACTTTGTATTAGACAAGTACATTCTCACACCTTTGGAATTTGATGGAATGATTCAAACTACTCTTTCCTAATTATTGACTCCTTGTTTTTGTCAGAGATGATGGTGAACATAGTCAACTTTTGTCCAAAGTTAAAAAGCTAGAACTAGAGTTGTCCCAGATGAAATCGGAGCTGTTAACTGGGGAAAGTGTGAAGACGAGTTGCGAGAAAATAGATGTCATTCATGAAAAAGTAGGTTCTGTAACTTCTGTAATTGTCCCAGTAAAACTTGGTACTACTTGAAAAACGTAGTGAACAAAATCAAGTGGTACCAACTTTCTTGAAATGCACTGCAATAAGTAACGTGGGGGTAGTATTAATATTAAAGAATGGTAGTGTGTTATGTAGTGGTACTGTGAATTTTTCCATTAGTGCTAACATTTTACTAGGCAAGAGTTTATGGCTTGTTTTCTACAATGGCAGGGTTTTTGTATTTAAGATATGATGCAATAGCAGTTCTGTATACAATACTTCGCTGTTCTTACCGATGTATTTTGCTAACCCATAGAAATGTGGAAAAGAAACTTACATAAAAGCAAGTTAGGTTTGTTATCTGAGAGTTGTTTTAAATCATGCTTAAGTTCTTTTGAAGCCTCTTATAAAGTCTGACTAGAATGTAGCCAACAAAATACAACAGTAAGTGTTGATACGGGATTATCAACTTTGACTAAAATACCATTTTGTGATAACGCTCAAATATGATCTAGCTATTGTTTATGGAATCAAAGCATACCATAAGTGAGTGATTAAGCAACTTGCTTAACTAGGCCTAACAAGTACACTGCTCCCCTTAGAGTTACCACGGTGCCTTCTTTGAACTGTTGCAGTCAACTATTTTTTTTATTCTGAAGTGTTAGTCAGACCACTAATCTAAACTGCATAGTTTGCTAGGGCTTTGTTAGGTATGTCTTGTTCACCAAACTGATGAAGCATCCAGATTTCCCATATGGTCTGCACACCTGACTGGTCTGTTGTTCCAGTGTAAGTCAATGTAGTTAAAACGCACGTGAAAGCTGGACTTCTGTGTCGTACTGAATGTGTGTATTGATTTCGCATGTGCCTGTATGTACAGTATAGCATTATAGACATATATATAATATTACTTAATGGTTTATGAAGACTAATAACTTCTACTATAATTGTTAATGGCTTCTACTAGGTAGATGCCCAGGTCAAAGAATCTGTCAAGCTAATGCTTTTTGGTGATCAACAAGAAGACTTTCCCGAATCGCTTCTTCAATGGCTTACATCCAATTTTGTGAGCAAAAGTGATCTGCAGACTTTGTTGCGGGATCTAGAATTGCAGATCCTCAAGAATATTACTCTCCATATGTCTGTCACAAACCAAAAACTAACATCTGAAGTAGTAACAAATGCTGTGACTAATGCAGGGATTTCTGGAATCACAGAAGCGGTAAGTGAGTTTAAGTTCTCAAAAGTTCAACTAAAACTGTAAAGAGTCCTTTTATGGGCATTTTGTGGAGCATGACTGTCGATATAGATGTTAAAGCATTTTCTGTAGTTCTTGCCATTTCAATTAATGTTCCCAACATCTCTTAAAATCATTATCAAGTGTATTCTTACAGCATTGTTTGTTGCCTGTTTGTGTTTTTTCAAAGTATGCTATCTTGAAAGTTGAAGAATTGCCAAGAAACAAGTATACCAAAGCAATGCAGCTCAGGGTCTTGGGAAGGTGGGGGAAAGAATGCAACTTTTGAGGAAAACACCAGTCAAGATGCAGTATGAATTTGTATTTTAAGACTGACAACCATGCATTAAAAATGGCCTCTATCTTGACAGAGGCTTTCAAAGACTTGTGATGGAGTGCAGCATCTCAAAAAGATGCTTGCAACTTCACAAAAGCGTATATATCAATTACTTTATCACTTGATACTATTAAAATCTTTCTCTTTCCATTCTCTTCTATGTGTACATCTGTAGCAAGCACAGATTATTGTAAACAATGCACTGAAACTCTACTCTCAAGACAAGACTGGTATGGTGGATTTTGCCTTGGAATCTGGAGGTAAATAGTAGAGGAAACACCATTTTTACTATTCATGTTGTTTATAGTATTTACCAAAAATCTTAAAATAAAGAGTAAAGGTTAGTAGAGCATCCTTGTGTGTTGCCTGATCATCAGACTACCGCAATCTGTGCATGTTGTTTACAGGGTTATATATCGGCCTATAGTTCTTCTAAGCATGTGTACAACTGGATAATAGAGAACCACGGATCTGTTTGTGTGGGGTGTACACACCACTGAACTCACTAGGGAAAAATGTGTATTTTTAGCCCTCTTAAATGAAAAACCTTTAACATGTTCTTAAAATAACATTGTACTTGATAGAAGCATTGTATCCCCAGAAAATTATTAGACTTTAACAATATCTGTAATAGTTTTTTCTGAGGACAATAACTGGTATATTCATTAAGCTTTGTACAAATCTCTGCTTTAAGTCTTCAGGAAGAAATGAGTAATTACTTCTGCTAACCTGATATATCTTTTTTGAGGTGGCAGCATTCTGAGTACTCGCTGTTCTGAAACATATGAAACCAAAACAGCATTAATTAGCCTCTTTGGAATTCCTCTGTGGTACTTCTCTCAATCTCCCAGAGTGGTGATTCAGGTAATTAAACGCTGAGTAAACAAATTCAGCAATGTTATTTTGTGCTGAGTGGTTTGGATTGGTTTTTGGATGCTGGGTGTTTTCTATCTGTAATATATTGGGGGGCATGGGTACTTTGAACTATGTTCCCAAGAGTGGGATTCTTCCGGTAGTTCCTGGGCACTGCTTAAGTCTTACTCTAGTGAAATTAAGACCCTTATAGGAAGCTTGGATGGTGCATTGGACTTCTGCGA